TCACCGTTGAATCCATTCCACATAGATTTGATGCTTCAGTCAAAGCAGCTCTCCATCTTTGCACTTTTCTCCAAAAGCATCCTCAAAGCTTCTAGTTTGATTCCGTACATCTATGGCTTTACATGATAAAAAACTGGTATAACTATTTGGCCATTCATTTTCTTACACTCAATAATCTCTACAAGTTCATCGAAACACCATTTGGAAGAAGCATAGTTTTTTGAGAAAATGATTGCTGCAATCTCTAATTCTTTAATTGCTTTGGTGAGTACAGGGGAAATATCATCTCCTTTCTTAAGTCCTTCATTATCAATGAAGGTTTGAATTTGTTTTTGACACAATGCAGCATAGAGATGACTAGTAGGGGGCGTTTGGTTGGGGGTTAAGTGGGATTACTGGGGTTATGTCATCTTATATTACTTGATTACCATGTTTGATTGTCAAGTAATATAAGATACCAGTAATCTTTAAATATCAATAGTGGTTACTATTGGTAATATAATAGGTAATCTGATTATCTCCATTTTCTTAGGTATTCTGAGATTACCAGAGTTATCTTTTTTTGTTACAATTTTATCCCTTATTAATAAAAATTTTGGACAATAATACCCCTACTTTAAAACAAATTTACATAAATATTCTATTTCAATTTTACCTTTGTTAATTAAAATTTTGGACAATAATACCCTTATATTTAAAATAATTTACAGACCACCACTCACCCAGCCACCACCGCCACTACCACCCAGCCACCACCACCGGCAACGGCCAACCACCACGGACCACCGCCGAAAAATCGTCAGAGTCCTTGAAAAGGAATGAAATTCCGTGGGAGGCTCCGGAGGCTTCGATATGGCCGTTTTCAGCCATATGGATGGCCGAAAACGGCCATATCAGGCCAGATCGATGGAACTGGCCGTTAACGGCCAGGTCTGGGCTAGATCTGGTCATTAACAGCCACGGACATGGCCGTTAACGGCCAGATCTTGCCTAAACCTGGCCCATAATGGCCATCGATCTGGCCGGAAGTGGTCAGAATAGTTCTGGCCATTTCCAGCCATATTGAAGCCTCTTCGTCACGGTGAGGTACTCACGGGTGCTTTCGGAGATTTTCGATGGTGGTTTGCGGTGGCGACAGGAGGTGGGGATGTCAAATTAAGACTGTATTTCTAACTAAGGACGTCATATTGTAAAGTCACAGGGCAGGTGAAGACAGATAACATAAATTTATTGACGCTTGATTACAGAAATGAAATTTAATAAGACTTGAAATATCTCATTAATATTCATTTAATAAGAGCTGGATTATTTGTTGTCTTAATAAATTCCCTTAAAAAGATTTGATGAAGTAACTTGTGGAATTCAAATTTTGAACTTATTCCATCTGAAAGAAATCTTCCTTAATTACTTTACCGCAGCTTCTTTTCTACATTACAATTTTAAGCTGATTAGTTATCTAAATTCTATCATATAAAAAAACAAGAATATAATGTTTATTAGTTTGTCTGGTTGTGCTAATCTATTGATTGAAGGGGCTTTTTTAAAGTTATAAGTACTTTTAACGGAGAACAACATTTTCCCACCCAAGGTATGGCAAAACGACACTTTCCCACCCTTCGTTAGGTTCTGTTATGTTTTTCTTTAGTATTTTACTGAAAATATGAAAATACACTTAAATATTTGACTTCATAAATTTTTTATTATTTTTTAATTAGCCAAAAAATCAAATATTAAAAAGTCAAAATAGTAATAATAATAATGAACCCCATCTAAAAAATTAGAAATAATGTTATGAGATTGTTTAAAGTTAAAAGACCTTAATATTTATTTATTTACAATGTCATCAATATCTCATCACGATTATTCAATAATTTATTAAATTTATAATGTTTTTATTTTTATTTTTACTAATTAACACAGGAAATCAATATTCTTAATTAATTAAATAAACAAAGGAAAAAAGATATATTTACTCTTGAACTAATAAATAATCGAGAGTAAAGACTATGACTTAACTAAATTTTAATTTATAATAAACTAATTAAGAAATAAACTATTTGAGGGTATTTTTATCTTTTCAATTAAATATTAACTGAAAACATTAACAGAACCTGAAGAAGGATGGGAAAGTATCATTTTGAAACTTGATGGGTGGACAAGTGTCGCTTTGCCAAACCTTGGGTGGGAAAATGTCCTTCTCTGTAGACGTAAAAATCTACCTGTACGGAAAGGGGGGTCTGATCCCGTGAGGTTGAGGCCACTAGCGATCTGCTGTACCTGCACACGTAGAGAAACACACGCGTGAAGCGAACGGGAAACACCAGGGTGGTGTTTGCCGTAGGCACTCCGACGCTCAAGTCAGCAAGGCTGAAAGGCTAATATAGTGAGGGCTAGGGAATGAGAGATTACCGGAAGTCTAGTCGGGGACTGTGACTACGGCGAATAAGCGAAACTCTCAAGTAAAGAGTCTAGGGTGTGAAGGTGTAATGTCGATGTCCTTTGTGAGAGGGCTGGCCTCTGCTTATATAGTGGTCGTCTGGTCTCCCAATCCTGGTGGGAGTAGGAGTCCTAGTGTGACTCTGATGCAAACCCTAGAAGAATTAGGGTCGTGGTGAGTTGTCTTACCAGTGTCCAAATAGGAAGGTGACCCTGATTAGGAGAATTAACTGAGTAGGAAAGTGATCAGGAATAGGAAGGCGACCTTGAATAGGAGGTTGATTAGGAGTAGGAAAGTACTCTGAAATGGCTGTGGGCTCTGGATTCGTCCATGGACCTAGGAAATGGACTAGGTTTAAGAGGCTCGTGCCCGCGTGGTTTGGGTCGGCTATACCTCATGTCAAAATAGGACTAATCTGGCTTGGGCCTCTGTAGGACTGGGCCTGGTCTTTCTTCACTAGTGGTCCTATTTCCCTATTTGGGCCAAGGACGATTTTTGACCCTAACATTCTCCCTACTTTAAAAAAAAATTTAGGCTGTTTGGTTATATTTCAAAAGTGTTTATAAGTTAATTTACGGCTTGTGGCCCTTTCTGGGCTTATTTACATCCTTAAAATTTCAAAAATATCCTTACTCTATTTCATTGATTTGATGTCATTTACTTTCTACATTAAAGTCTTTTTGGTTAAATTAATAACCAAACAACGAACAAATTGTTCATAAAAGCTCTACTCTTGTTTTCTTTTATAAGGTCTATTAGAACAAGTCATACCAAACAACCCTTAGATGAAATAAGAATACAAAAATCGCTTTTATCCATTATGCATATGATATATTAAAATAATTTTATGAACAATAAGTTTGTTTTATCATTTTGAGTTAAATATCATTAAAATGACACTATCTGTTATATCAAATTGACATTATAAATTACTTTAAATAATTTATTCCGGTATATCAATGTAATATTTGGAGTATCATTTCTTGATGGCTCAAGAAAATATTCCGTCATTCTATAACTTTTTTTTCCCACCCAATAAAGTTGCTTCTTCTAGTGAAAAAATAATTAAAAAAGACCAAATATCAACAAAATATTAAAATATCATTTCTGGGTTTAATACTTTAATTCAACAACCTTCTATTGTTCTATAATATTAATTTATTTTCTTGCGCCGATTGAATCACTTCTTTTGCACCGACTGAATCACTTCTTTCAGAATAAGTCCATCGAAAAACAATAAAAAATGACCATAAATAAAAAATACAAATTCAATAAGACAAGTTTCTAATGTCAATACAATGCAAAAAAGTATTAGCAATCCAATACACTTATTATTAATTCACATCCTTGCAATGTTAATGTAATATACCTATATTATTATTATTATTAATAAATATTAATTATAGAAGACACAATAAATACAAACCTAATGTGTAAAGACATAGCAATTTGATTATTTAATGTGTCAAAATTAAGCAATTCTAGATCTTTCAAAATACTCCCTCCGTTTCATTTTAATAGACGTTTTAGGAAAGTATTTTTTTGCCAAAATAAAAGTCGTTTGACTACTCTATCCTCTCTCTCTTCCTCGATGAATTCTCCTGTCCTTTGTATTCCAATTTTCTCTGCCCTCATCTCCGCTCTCTCTTTCTCCATCTCTACCCCTTATCTTCTCTCTCTCTTTCTTTTTCAAATGCAGGTGAAGAGCAGCCGGAGAATCAAAATTTTCCCACTGTAATTTCAGTGAAAGAGTCAGTATGAGGAGAGAGAAATTTGTTTTCTTAAAAATTGTGCAAAGTCTTAAAATATCACTTAAAAAGACACAGAGAGAGTATATCACAGGGCGAACAATCTGCATGGGTATTTATGGAGAACAACCAGCACAGGTATTCATGAATTTTAGAGTTAAGAATATCTCATTAAACCACATATCTAACGTGGCGAAAGAGAGCAACCCTAAACCAATTTTACCTTTGGACTTGGAATACCGATTCAGCAATTAATATCTTCTACAACATCACCAATAAAATTCAACCACATAACAATCACAAATTCTATGTGTCAAAATAAGACAATTTTACAAGTTACAAAATGTGTCACCTGGCGAACAACTTGCATGAGTATTCAGCTTTATATATATATATATATATATGTTTTAAACAATTTTAATAATTGAATTATGAAAATCATATGTATATTACATTGATTTAATTTAATATTTAAAAGTTTTTCTGACAAAAAGAAACCTTAATACTCGATAGGGAAAAAGTTTTATTTTTCTTTTTCTTTTTCTTTTTACTTTTTCGATTCATATTTTATAGTCATGTCACTCAAGTGCAAGTCAGCACCTGCCCATTTATTAATTTGAAATTTATACACTTAATTATAAATTAATCTAGATTAGGTTATAATTAATTATTATCTCCAATTTGATTTTTTTAGTACTTTATTATAATTTATTCATTAATGGTCGCAAGCCACTGCACGTCACGTAATATCTGGTTTCTTATATAATTGACAAATTTTCATTGGCTTTACCATTTATAACAAAATGTTAAAAACGATGAAGAAAGCTGAGCTGGTGTTCATCCCTTCACCAGGCGTCGGCCACCTGAGATCGACGGTCGAGCTGGCAAAGCTCCTCCTCGAACGCGACCACTGCCTCTCAATCACCGTCCTCGTCATGCAGCGACCCGTCGACACCAAAGTCAATCCCTACCTTCACTCACTTGACAATAACATCAACATCATTCGCCTCCCAAACGTTGATCCTTCCCCTCCAAAATCATCTTCTCGGATTAGCTCCTCCAATTCGTTCATCGAAAGCCACAAACCCAACGTCCAAGAAGCCGTCGCTAAGCTTGTTCATGCCGAGTCAGCCTCCGATGATTCACCTCGACTCGCCGCGTTCGTTCTCGACATGTTCTGCACGAGCATGATCGAGGTTGCGAATAATTTTGGAGTTCCAGCTTGTTTTCTACACCTCGAGTGCCGCTTTTCTGGGCTTGAAATTTTACGCGCAAGCTCTTTTGGAACAGAAGAAGCTACTCACTGACTTGAATGACTCGGAGACTGAGTTGGAAGTACCGAGTCTTGTTACTCAGTTCCAGTCAGAGTTTTGCCGGCCGTGTTGTTAGATAAAGATTGGTCTACTGTTTTCTTTGAACAAGCGAGGAGGCTTAGAGGATGAAGGGTATTTTTGTGAATACATTCATGGAGCTGGAATCGTATGCGGTCAAGTCTTTCTCTGACGGTAAGATGATCAACGTCCCACCTGTATATACTGTCGGACCCGTTTTGAATCTCAGGATGATGGCAATGAACAAGATCAGGTGGGTCATTACAAAATCGAGATCATGGAATGGCTTGATGATCAACCGCGGTCTTCAGTTGTGTTTCTATGCTTCGGGAGCACGGGAAGCTTTGATGAAGATCAGTGAAAGAGATAGCTTCTGCGCTTGAGCGCAGTGGCATGGATTCTTGTGGTCTTTACGTCAACCTCCATCGAAGGGTCATATTGGTTACCCTAGTGATTACACAGTTGACGGACGTGTTACCCGAAGGATTTCTCGATCGAACGGCTAAGATTGGGAAGGTGATCGGATGGGCTCCACAAGTGTCATCTTGGCCCACGAGGCGATCGGAGGGTTTGTATCACATTGCGGGGGGAATTCAGTGTTGGAGAGCGTATGGTTTGGTGTTCCAATTGCGACGTGGCCTATGTATGTTGTCAACAATTCAACGCTTTTGAGATGGTGATTGAGTTGGGATTAGCGGTTGAGATTAAAATGGACTATATAAAGGAGTTTCTGGGATTATCTAACAATAGTGAGTGCAGAAGATATAGGAAAAGGAATAAAGAAATTAATGAAAGGTGATGGTGAGATAAAGAAAGGATGGGGAGCAGTGAAAAGAGTAGAAAGGCTTTGATGGAGGGTGGATCTTCGTTCTCTTCATTGGGTTGCTTCATTGATGATGTTATGGAGAACATAGGATCAAAGGTACCAAATTGATGTTAATGTATAATTCAGTTTATTGTTATAATTTTAGTAGTGAAATTTAGTAATAATTTATGAAAGGAAATATGAACTAAATAAAGTAAATAACAAGGACCAAAGTCAGAAAATTGAGAGATGTGATTGATATTGTTTAGCTTCTCAAATTTTTGAATGGTTAGAAGACTGAGTAATATTAGATCTACAATTCAATATTACAATCTTCTTTCATATCTTTTAACGTGATAATTTTTCATTGGTTAGCTCGTAAATGGGCAGACGGACTCATACAAATAGGTGGGACCTATTTTACGAGCTAACCAATGATGAGTTATCACGTCAAAGATTGTGAGATTGTGTTGTGGATCTAACATTACTCATTAGGTTCATTATTTACAATATTTATTAAAATATCCTATTGATTTAGATTATAAATATATATTTTTACAATGAAATATTTATTTTATATCCAATATATAGTTCTTTTACAATTAATTAATTATCTCATTGATTTAGATTATAAACATATAATAAAAAGTATAATTATAAAGATTTAAAGACATAGAAAGATAATTGATATAAAATTCGAAATATAGAGTATATGGACTTAAATCACTGAAAAAAATAATGAATAATAATTTAATTAAAGGTGGTGTTGTGTGTGATTTTTCCATCAAGCTCGGGCAACCGCGAGGGTGTAGCTCGACCTAGAATTAGTCTGATTCTACTAGTTGTCCAATCTAGTATAAGTTCGTCAACATATAACTCGACTTAACACAAGCTAGTCACGAACAACTCAAATGATCATTCAATCAATTTTCATATAACTTCAGATCCCAGATATTGTGGGAATGACTAGATCAACAACAATCTTTGCGCAATTACAGTGCCCAATCGTGAGAATATCAAAATTACAGTTCGGATCAATTATAATCTTTTTTTTTTTTTTTATTCTCATTGTTATTTACTTTATTGCATTCAATACTTGTCTTTCGCTGATAATTCGTAATCACGCGCACATTTATTCTAATCCCACCAAGGTCGATCAAAATTCTCTTATTGGTGCAAATTTTTATATCAACAGGTGATATTATTATAATAACTAATGAATTATTATATAAATAAATAAATTCTAGAATTTATCATGTATATATAGGCAATGAATTGGTACTTGTATGAATTTGTTATTCATAATATCTATTTTCCTTTAAGTCATTTTATGGATTCTTCAAACAAATCACTCTTATATAAATTGTAAAAGACAGTATTTATGTTAAAAATTAAATTTCTGTAAATTATGGATGTTAATTGAATTAGTGTGTATTTCCTCTTTTACCCTATAATCTAACTATCTAAGCCACACATCTCCAACTGAAGTGCGCATTTTTAACACCGTCTGCCAACCTCAACTGGGTGCCCAGTACGCCTATCCGGCGCTAAAAATATTTCATCCCCAAACCCCGATAAGTGAGAAGAAAAAAAATAAAGAATCATAGATCGCTTCAGTTTCATTTTCTCCTTCGAAACCCTAACATCCCTAATCAAAGTTTGGCTCGATAAATCTTCATGTATTTGATTTATAATCTTTTATTGTTTCAAATTTCTCCCTACTTTCTCAATTTAATAAATGGATCAGTTGTTATTTCCCTCCGATAACTGTGTTTATGGCGGTCTTTCTTTTTGAAGATTTAATTTCTGTCGTTGTTTCAAATTTATAGGAGTGATACATGATGATCTTTATGCTCTACAATACATATGGATGTAATTGCCTTAAGATCGCTGTGTTGAAAATGAAGGAAAATTGGAAGTGATGCTTGAATCTAAACCAAACAGTAATGTCGTATAATCTCAATTGCTTACATAAGGTTACCGATCTCCACCGTAAGGCCACCTGAAACGCCTCTGACAGCCACTAAAACCTTTCCTCTAAAAGTCATAAATTTTTAAGTCTTGAGTCAACAATTTAGTGGATTATTAATTCAACCACTTCGCCCATGGTCCATGTGTAGTTAATTATTACGATAATCTCAATTGACCACTAAGTTTAAAGTACACCATTCAACTGATAAAATTGAAAAAACAAAAAAGTGTACAGAAAAAAAAAAACAGAGCTAGGGTTTAAGCCCATTTGGCCAGTACAGACATGCAGCCAGCACCAAGCAGAAGAGAAATATTGACTGCAATTTGAAGCCCAGTATTGGTTTGAACCTTTGTGTTCATGAAATCAGCGGCAAGAAGGTCCACAAGTGACATATATATTAAGATCCCAGCTGATGCTGCATTAAAAATCCCTTCAACAATTAGAGCTGTGGGACTATTCTCTTTGTACACATTTGATATTCCTATCCCGATCGCTATTCCAACTGGGGTTGTCAATGAGAAGAACAACACCATAATTGCAATCGCTCCAGACTTGAATTTTGCCTACATAAATCAAACCAATTATAATAATTCAGATATGTTTCTTGGGAAACCAAAGGGTCAAATTGAAGGACCAGGATTCTGATCTCATGTAAGTTTAAATAATACCTGAGCGATACAACCTCCCAGCCCCATGCCTTCAAAGAACTGGTGGAAAGTCAAGGCAGCTACCAGAGGCCTTATAGTTTTTGGACTTTCGGATGCACCCAATGAAATCCCTATTATCACTGAGTGCACTACAATTCCCAACTCCAAAACCTATCATAAAGTTTCATATCATAAGTATAACCATATGATATGATAGTAATGTTAACAGATTCAAAATCAAACCTGAGATATGATACGATGTCTAAGAAGCTCTGAATCAGCCGAAGGGATGGCACCATGAGCGTGTCCATGAGTTCCATGAGTATGAACATGAACATGATCTTCATGCGGTTGAACCATCTCTTCATCTCCAGGATATTTTCCGGGCTTAGACTTATTGAAGTGAGACTTGGTGTAGTAAGAAGTTGCAGAAGCATCCACCATCAGAGTTCCAATCGTTGCCATCATCGCAACAAATCCTGTAAAAGGGAAGTTTCCCCATGGATTTTCATTCAAACATGGCGATGTCAAATTCTCGAACGCATCAGGAAGAACGTGGATGAACCCAGTTGATAGTATAACTCCTGCAGCAAAGGCCTTGATCACGAAGAAAATATTCTTTTCCGGACGTAAAGCTTCAAAGGATTTTCCCAGAATCGGAAGACAAACTCCAATAGCTCCTGCAACAAGAATCGAGGCGAAGGCTCCAAGTTTGTATTTGAGTGCCTGAGTCTTGTCGCGGTCTTCTTCTTCAATATCACATGTGCACTCTCCAAGAACAAAGGAAGGAAGAATTGAAATGATGAGAAGACAAGCAAAAAGCTTGTACAGTGGAAGATGACTATCAAGAAAGTTGGTGTTCATAATTTCAGATTTCAGAAGAAAGAGAATTATGATCATATGAAATTGTCCAAAACTGAGTCCATTATATTTATAGAAGAAGGAGAAATTAAAACTCTGTAATTCTTATGAAAATTAAGATGATGATGTTGATAACCATGGTGAAATCTTAAGTGGAAAGTAATAGGAGAATTGCACTTAGGAAATCTCAAAGATTAATGAAACAAAAAAGTGTGGAAACATGACGACATATTGCAAGGAATCATTGAAGTCTTCGCATCAAATACCGGATGTCGAAACTATGTGTAATAATTTGCAGCATTTAGCTAGCTGCCTAACTATATCTTAATATTTTTAATAATTACCCTTCGTATTCAACGGTTGTTATTAAATTTTTTAATGTCGAATTTAGCATTAATTAAGATTAAATATAAGCCGATAGATAATGGATCCCCCTTATTCTTTTTTCTTTTTTGTTTGAAAATATAACTATTAATTAAAAAATATTTTCATTGAACTAAGTTCATACTGTTGAGAAAATATAATTTAGCATTAATTAAGATTAAATTTAAGCGGATAGATAATGGATTCTCATAATTATTGGTTTTTATATTTTGTATCTGGATAATTACAGCTATTATTCTGGTCCTAAACTTTAGGATCTAAGGCTTGTATGTTAGTTATTTATGTCTACTGATTGCCAAAAATACTG